TTTATGGATATTATTACAATAAAAAAATTATTTAAATGCAATATTTTGGCAAAAAATGAACTTAGAATTATTTATTTTCAAAATGTTCTCCTTTTATTAAAAATACCTCTATCTACACCATTAAAATTCGTAGTCTACACTATTAAAATTCGTAGGTAAACAAACATATCTATCTATCTAGGAATCTATGATGCCCTATCTTCTCACGAACCACAAGACGCAGAAACTCGCCGAGGTACCAAAATTTTGGGAATGATCCGAGGAATCCGTTTTGATCATTTATATTCCGATATTCCAATAAGTTGAAAAGATATTAATTGAAAACCTAAAAACGCATAATTAGTGCCATTTTTCACCGCCAGGGCCCAAGTTCAACTTGTTTTTTTTTCAGACGTTTTTAAAACGCGATCTAATTTTTTTCATGAGACTCAGACAAAAAATAAATACAGATTTGGAAACATCATTTACATCGACACGATATGGTATGATTTATTTTACAAAATAATTATATTTTGTATTTTTTGCGATTTTTTAAAAATGAGTCGTAATTGATTCGTTTCTATGAGTATGATTTCTCAATCGTTTCGCTTGCATTTTCGCTAATGAAAAAAAATATTTTACACTAAAAAATGTTCATGCTTTTCTCTTTTGGAATCGGTTATTTAAAAAATTTCATGTCAAAAACTGTTTTTTTTTACGATTCTTCAAAAAATACTCAAAAATTTTATTTAAATACTTAATAACTTCTTTATTTATAGAAAATAATCTCACGAAACTTTTTTTCCGTGTTTAGAACGATATTCTACGTAATCCGTACAAAAATTGATAAAATATCTTAAAAATTACCGGGTTTTTTTTAAAAAAATTGTGTTTTTCGTGTAATACCGTTTTTACGAGATTCCGGTAAAACAATATTTCCTTAATTTTTTTTTTATTTTCAAATTACCATTGTTTGTTATCGATGTGGGAAATTTGGAAACTTCAACTTAAAAATTAACTACTCAAAAAATGAAAACTTTAAAAAAATATTCGCAAGTTTTTTAGTTTTTTGCGCGTGCGCGGGGGAATCGGGGAACTCCAATCTTCGCGTTAGCGACATTGCTGTTTAGAACTAAGCCGGGAGGAAAAAGGGGGTTGTGTGACTGTGACTGTGGAATTTCATCGTGTCACGCTCGCTCCTCGCCTGAGTTATTTATAGAATCATTTCATTCATTACCGATAATTGTTTTAAAGTGCACAGGCTTTTTATCCTTTTATTCAAATATATTTTTAATCTAACATTCAAAAACAACGCAATAGAGAAATTAATAATTCTTTCAAAAAACAACGGGGAGAATTTTTGTATAACAGTGAAATAAAAAAACCTTAAAAATTCTGTTTTTACAAAACAACGAAACTTTGCATATAAATTAATTTATTTAAAAAAGGTTTCTTGATTATTAAATCATATTTTAGAAAATTACTTCACATTTTAAAAAATAAAATAATTGCTGTACTTATATAAATATTTATATTATACTTCATAAATATAACTAATAATAAATAATACTTTTTAAATTGTGTTATAATAAATATTAAATGATATTTTATATAAAAATTAGTTACAAAAAGTTTTATAAAATGACATACAATATGTTATAAATAAGATATTATATAAATTATTATAATAATACATAAAATTATTGTTAAAATAATAAATTTGTTAGTTTTGTTTAAATTACATTTTTTTGTCTCAGATACGTGTTTAAATAATTTACTAAACTCAGTGGAATGAAAAAACATTAAAATTAAAATAAAATATCAAAATGTTTTTATCAGATTGTTTTTTTTTCTTTTGAATGTTTTTTTCAGTGCATGTATGTATATATATATTTAGGTTTTCCCCCATACTGTTTTTTACAACTTATAAATATATATTTATATGTTTAATCAAACATTCAAACGTTCAGAAAAAAAAAACAATCTTTTCAATAGCTATCTGTAATTTTTTTTTATTTATTACTTGCAAAAATTTTATTTTGATAAATATATATATATATATATATATATTTAAATGATTATTTCTATCATTTCATTACTAAATTAAGTATTTGTTTATTTAAAAGTACATCGCTCATTATTTTGGATCAAAATTCATTTTAGAGACACTTTTAAGCTAACTATATGTAACGATTGATTGATTCATGAAAATCTGAAATCTATTTTAGAAACAAACTAATATTAAAAAATGATGAAAGTTTTTTGTTTTACTCTTAGCATCAGAATCCCTTTCTTTTTCTTGCTTCACATTAATAATTTTTTAACTCTAACTCAATATTGTTTTCTATAAGTGTTACATCGAAATTTGAAGCTGTATCTTATCTGTGAGGGGAGGGAAAGATAGAACTATAATTTTACACTAAAAAAACCCGTGTTATGCCGGGCTATAGAGAGGGGAAAGAAACTTGTCTTAAACCAAAAATAAGTGGAATGGAACAAATGTCGAAAAAGGGAAATTTTTTGACATAATTTTAGAAACCACTCACATTGTGTGCGTACAAACACACACACAGAAATGCTGGTGTCATGAGGGAAAGAGAAAACCCGTGCAACGCCGGGTCATGCAGCTAGTGATAATATTTTGCATATACATAGCTATGACTCCTCCACAGAGCCTGAACTAGGATTTTATAAAAATTCACATTATTTCCAGAGTTACTACCAGTTAAAATAGTTAACAGTGTTTTTTTTTTGTTAAAATTTCTCCACTCTGATGTATTAAAATATGAATAAATCCACTTCTAAGTTAAATATTACAAACATCCTTGTCCAGACTCTGTACAGAGGTCTGAGCTATTTATAGGCAAACTATTATTATTAAAGAAGTACTTCCCATAAAAGGAGAACATTTTGAAAATAAATAATTCTAAGTTCATTTTTTGCCAAAGTATTATATTTAATTAACTTTTTATTGCAATAATATGCTTAAAACAATTTCATACGTGTATTCTAATCTAAATATTTTTAAAAATATTCGTTTTTATGCTTTTATAAAATCACGATTCCAAACTTAGTCAGATACCTTAAATGAAATAACAAATTTTCTCCAAATAATATTTCAGTTTATATATCAAATTTTTCTAACAAAAAAAATTTATTTTTAATTCGATCCAAATGCCGCTGCCCCTAGATTTGATTCGTGGAACCCCAAGGTTCCTGGAACACATTTTGAAGACCACTGGTGGAATCGATTTCTTTAGCATCTTAAAAATAGTTCTCAAGAAGCATAAATCTTACACAAATTCTAATAATTATTATTAGCAGTTAGTAAGCCTCTAGAACACTTAAACACCAACTCAAAACCTGTTTCTGTTCTCGCGAAAATTAGAACAACTTAACGATTTTCATTATTGCCATTTTCACAGCTTAAGTTTCTAAAATACATCATAGTAAAAATAATAATCAGATAGAAGATCAACTGGTTACAATTCATCTCCCTCTTCCCTCCTAATTTTTTTTCTGGGAAGAGAAAGCATACATATGTACCGCCGAGTATTAAAGAAAAATTGATTAACTAGGCAAGGTTAACTTTTGAAATAAGGGATTGTCTGTCCAATATAACAAGAGTGCAAAATATAAGTCTAGACTATGTGTAGATCAAGTTTGTGGATTTTATGTCATTAGCTTCAAATAGCAAAACAGTTTAGTAAGAGAGACGAAATTTATTCTTTGAAAAGAAAACACAGGGAGCAGCAGTGATATTCACACAATAATTTCCAAAAGTTTTCACCTTTCCTTTAGATCTCGGACACAACTATCAATGTCTAAAAATACAGATACGTAAAGATAAAGTGTATCCTCACAAAAGAAACTTGCTAGTGAACTCTTCAATAGCCTCCGAAAAAACTGCTATTTGTAGCCAGTGTGACAACCTTCTAGCGCTTTCTCGAAAACTCCGCTTACGTCATAGATTGTGATGTTATAAGATTTCTCCATTAATTTGCAGAAGCATCCATATAGTCACCAACTCGTCTAATTTGGTCGCCAAAAAGATGCGAACTTGGCTATATCGCCAATAATTCACCAAGTTTCCATTGAGACGCCATTATAATGTAAGGGGCGGCGTTATTTGCAAATATTGCAATTTTTATCATAAAACAAATACAATAGAAAAATTAATATTAACATATTTAATATCCAGATATAAATTATTTTTACACTATTTTACAACATGAAATTAAGCATTAATTACACAAAATTCGTGACAATATGTTGCAACTGCATGTATTATAAAATCATCAACTGTTCAAATTGTGCCTCGTATATTTTTATTGGGTTAAGCTAAAAAAGAACTAGTACTTACACTTCGAGAGGAGAATTTGTTCCATATATGAAAAAAGCTGGGCCTTCATATACACCATTGGGATCTGGCGATGACGAAATAAAAGCGGGAATGACTACTGCTATATTTGCTTTCAAAGAATAGCGCCCGTCAGACTGTCGTTTTATGGTGAAAGGTAGATCTTGCAAGCGGCGTGTTTTGGCGTTTGACTGCAAGTAAGATAAATTTAATTTTTTCATTAGGATTTACTGCATTGCTCATTCCCACGTAACTTTTTGAATAAAGTTGCATAATGTTTGAAAGATTTTGATGCATTTTATCTTAAAATTAAGATGATCATTAAAAAAGTACAGTTTAAACTTGGAAATAAAGTTTTAACACATGTATTCCACAATGAAAATATTTCATGACCAAAATAGTTAATTGAGTTACAACAAGTAATGTGTAAAAAAAATATTAAGTCTATTCCTACTTTGGTCAACAAGGAAAAATTTTATTTTAGTTACTTTCTAGTAAATAATTACAATTTATATAAATATGTATATACATATATGACAGAATCACAATATCAAGTGGAAAAATAGAAAGCGATTTTCCTTTCGATATTTGTTGTTGGACTATTATTTTTGTTTATTATTACTGTTTATTCATTCATAAATCCCATTCTCAGAAAATAAGCCATCCCAGGTAGGATTCGAACCCACGACCTTGGATTAGAAGCCCAACTCCACTATCCATTGTGCTACAGGGATACAACGAGCGATTTTACTTTTTATATATGGTGTTGAGCAATTAGTTTTGTTTGTTTCTGTTAATTAATTAATATTTGAAAAAAACTGTATATTAACATCAAGTGTCATCCACTACAAGATTGAAATATGTATTTGAACTTGAGTGGATGAATAAAAAGTATTTTATTAGCGAATAAAAATTTGAATAAGATATATATATATATATCGCAGGGAAATGATTAAATTAGGGGTTTCATCAAATCCCTAAGGGAGGGGATCAGTTAACGCAAGATGTTAAAATAAGAACTATGTAAGGTGATTTCCCTACGAAAGTAAGTGATTTGATCAAACCCTTAACCGGTTTCAGTGAAATGATGAAATAATATTGTCAAGAGTTTTGAAGTGTTTATTTAGCAAATATGGTGCATCATGAAAAGTAGAGTAATTAATACAGCAATAATCGTTGAATTACAAATTCGAAATTACTCGAAATTAATCAAGAAAATAATTAGATAATAAAGCTGATATTTTTTTTAAAAAAAAGATATTAGTAGAGTTTGGAACATTTTTTTTAAAAAAATTATAGATTAATGTAGTACTTCAGAAATTCCTCTTCTTTATTTGTAACACCTTTTTTTAGTTATTTCCTTTTTTAAAATAGCTTTTTTTATTATCAAAAAAATTTTTATCTATAAAGAGGGCGTGGTCGAATTCCCTAATTTTTTTGTTTACTTTTTCAATTCTAGTTTCCAATTTTCAGGCATACAACAGTGATATAGCAATCGAAAGATAATAATGCAAAGAATAAAACTAAATTAAAAAAATTATATTTAGATCATTTTGTTTTGGTGCGTCACGTCAGAAGCCCGGCGCTGCCTGGCACGGGCGAGGAGAGAGGGGGAATTAAAAGGGAGTGTTAACAAGTGAAAACAGAGCTGCACAAATGCTGACTTGTTCATTTCACTAAAACAGTTGAGGAATTTGATCCAATCACTTACTTACATCAGGGAAATGACCTCAAAGAGACGTTATTTTAACATGTTGCGTGAATTGATCATATCCCTTAGGAATTTGATGAAAGCCCTAATTTCATCATTTCCTTGCGACATATATATAGATAAATATATAAAGAGAGAGTGTGAAATAATATTAGGAATTCAAAAAAGAGTTAATAAAATAATAAGAAGAGTTAAAAAGAACTTAAGAACTAAAAAAACTCATTCGAGGAATCCGCATGACTAATTTTTTTTAATAAAAAAATATGTATATAATGAAGAAAATGTTTAAAAAAAGGAGGCATTTTGAAGAAAGGAGACATTCAGTAAAGGGATTTTCTTTTTTTATTAACCCGGGAGAAGTCACGCACTCGATAATAAAGCTAATGGTCACGCGGTTTTACGGAATCATTCCAATCCTTTTTTAGCTATTGTTTTTGTTGTACACGATAAAAATCGTAATTTCAATGATTAATTTAATCAAGAAAAAGTATACACTTACCTACTTTTAAGAACTTTTCTATTTTTCTTATAATTTGCGAAACTGAATGCTAAATTAATTTAACCAAAATGTATCAAATGTGCGTAACTTTAATGAAGGTCACACATCACAGACACTTTTCGCTAACATGACAGGAATGATATCTGCAGGTAAAACTGTCATATATTTTTCAAGTTACTGTACATTTATTGTCCTTTGGCGATTGACAAGTAGCATGTTGAACTTTTACTTGCTTGCGTCCGTTTCACTGAGCGCAGTGTGTCTTGTGGTACACTTGTGGCTTCATATCTTTCTTGATGGAGATTTTTAGGCAGAGTTTAAAAACTTTCTTTCAACACAAACGTTTCATGTTCTACACTTTTCTCAAATTTACTTTCGCTACCAAGTGATTTATTATCCATTATTTCATCAAGTTCTTCCCTTGCTTGATCAGTTTCAACTTCATCCAATAGAGAGATCAGAGATATCCGTTTCTTTTATATATATATATATATATATATATATATATATATATATATATATATATATATATATATATATATGGCATGCAGCCAAAAGCAACGCAGTCTTCGCGCGCAGGCGCAATGAATTGAAACTGAAACTTGTGAATTAGTGGAAGAGAAACAAAAACTCTTGGACATTAGAGAGAAAGAGAACGCGAGAGGTGCGCGAGCAGGCGTTACCTTCTGAATATCATCGTCAAACTTATCTGTAAAAACTACCTTTTTAATTAATTTTTGTTTAATGTTAAATAAATCATAAGAGAAGCGTATTGGACCCCTTGTTGTCTCCCACAAATTATGGGGGCTCGGCCGCGATAGATAAAATTTCGATTTTGAACCAAAGTCTGGACAATGAACAACAGCGTCCGTGAAGGAGACGCGCCGCCATTTTTCGGAAACTTCGTTCAACCTGTGTAGAGGTTGAATTTTTCAACTTCATTCCGCCTGTGTAGAGGTCGGAACAAATAACAAAATAACCTGTGTAGAGGTGTATTTTTCAACGAACCATCGACAAATATTCCGCCTGTGTAGAGGTCGGAACAAATAACAAAATAACCTGTGTAGAGGTGTATTTTTCAACGAACCATCGACAAATATTCCGCCTGTGTAGAGGTCGGAACAAATAACAAAATAACCTGTGTAGAGGTGTATTTTTCAACGAACCATCGACAAATATTCCGCCTGTGTAGAGGTCGGAACAAATAACAAAATAACCTGTGTAGAGGTGTATTTTTCAACGAACCCTCAAAATCCCGCCTGTGTAGAGGTTGGAACTAACTCAGTGTGAATAATCCGCCTGTGTAGAGGCCGGAACCACAATTTCAACTATATTACCTGCGAAGAGGTGAAATCAGTGGAATCGAAATTTTTCTTCATTGGATACATCGTACGTGCGAGCAACAAGGGAGCCAAAAAAAAAAAAAAAAAAAAAGGTAGGATCTTTTCATATTTTTATAAAATGTATAAAAACGCTCTTAAAGAGGATCTCATAAGAGTTGTTGAGGAGCTAGACGGTACTGTAGAGAGTACTGACACTATAGTTAAACTAAAGACTAAAATTGAGAACAGTAGTACATTTGAAAGTGATCCAGATTTCGTTAAAACTTTAATTCAAAACTGTATAGATGAGAGAGTATCGCAAAACGAAAGAGAGGTAACTTCAGAAAAAAAAAAAAAATTGAGCTCGCGAAACTTCAGTTAGCAAAATTAGAAAAAGAAATCGAACTTCAATTGGCTAAAAATAAAGCATTAAGTTTAAATCCTGCAGCTAAAGTCGAAGAAAAACAGTTCGAAACTAACATAGAAAATATGATAAAAGTATAAAAACTCTATCTCTTCCTGTTCCCACCAGATCTGAAAATTTTAATCTGTTCTTCCAATCATTAGAACGCGCATTTTTAACCAAGAAAATAAATGACGAATATAAATCTGAAATTTTAATAAATCTTCTGGGCGAAAGAGCTCATAACGTCTTACTGTATCTTAAAGAAGAGGAATTAAATGACTATGAAAAACTAAAATCTATAGTACTCAGAGAATTCCAATTAACCCCTCGCGAGTGTTTAAACTCATTTAAAAATGCTGTAAAATCATCAGGCGAGACATACATCCAATTTGCTGCAAGATTGACGGCAAACTTCCAATATTATTGTTCGTTAAGAAAAGTTAATTCCTTTGAATCTCTATGTGATCTTATAATTTCTGATAAATTATATGAAACTTTAAATAAGGAAACTGCAACTCATATTGGCATTCGAGAAGCAGAAGATTGGTTTAGGCCTATTGATTTAGCTAAAGAGTGTGATATTTATATTTCATCTAGAAGCGGATCACATAAAGAAATTCCTATTACTTATGGATATACCCAAGACCCCTTTAAAAATAGATCACAAAACTTTAAACCAAAGGTTAAAGAGAACTACCCCCAATATCATGAAAGAGAAAATAAAAATTGCTATATATGCGGTGATTCATCTCATTGCGCAAGAGACTGTGAGAAGCGTTTTAAACCTAAAGAATCTAATGATCACATCCATAATAAAATAAACGTAAATACTTTGAAAATCGAGAGCGAAAAACAAAATAGCGATGAATGCGCAAATCTTCAATACGTAAACATTTTTGTGGAAAATCAGCCCGTAACAGCATTGATTGATTCAGATTGCCAGATCACAGTTTTAAATTCCTCACTAATTAGAGTGCAAACACCTTCCGAAGAGATCATAACATTAAGTTCATGTTTTGGCGAACAGCGTATGGTAGAAGTTAAACCCATAAATATTTCTCTTAATCAACACTCTCCTAGCTTAAGTGTGAGAACGGCAATATCACCGACCTTGACCGAAGAATTTATTATACATCCCAGTGTATATTCTGAAATAGAGAAACTAGGCCACGCAAAGAGCGATGTTTTATTGAGTGAAAGTGGATCCTCTTTGAGTGCAGATTGTGGTGTTTCTTTTCCAAATGTTTCTGTTTCAAATGTGATAGAAAACTCTAGTTATGATTTATCACATGTTAAAAACTTTAATACTAGAAATGATTCGAGTTCTCTAATTAAGGATTATAAATGTAATAAAATTAAGAGTACTAAGTTAAAATTGAGTATTGTAAGAGAAAAATGTTCTGATATAGTATTGTGTAAGAAAGCCAATGGTGCCATGAAAACGAGTTCCGTGGAATTTATCTCCCGCTCACCCAACCCTTTACCTATGAAGAGTGAACATCGACGGTTTGTGTTGCTCCGAAAAATTTTTGAGCCTTGGCAGTGGAAACGAAGGAAAAAGAGAAATCGTTTTGAACAGACGTCCAGAACTCTACAGAGGAAAATATCGATGCGTTCAACCAAAGATAAACTTGTTAAAAAAGACGTTCTTATGCCTGTGAAACACGTTTTCCTGTGGAACCTTCCGGATGTCGAAGAGGTGCCTCCACATGATGGAGAAACTGTCTAGTTCAACAAAATTTTGATATGTTTAATCTCTATATATTTGTCGTATAGTCCTTGTCTGTTCCGTTTCT